ACTCTCAGGGCATCAAAATAAATTAGAGTCCCAGAGGTGACCCTTCCAAGGTCACATGGCTAATAAGTGGCACAGTCACAGATTGAACTCAGTCAGGGTCTAGAGCCTGTATCTTTCCGTTGAACTCGGCTGTCCTTCTTGGTTGCAGTTTTAGTACCTCTTTTATAGCACCTGTAATGTTTTACCTGGGATTTCAGTTATTTATCTGTGTCTTATTTTGACTACTTGCCTCTCCCCAGCTGCCAACACAGGGTTAGACTCAGACATGGGGTGGTGGTGGGGAGAAACTCATTAAATGTGTGAGATTCAAATGGTTGTAGGTCATAAAGAGCCTCTGAGGAAGTGTGGCTGGCATGGGGGATGCATATAGCATGTTATCTCTCTGTGACAGTTTTGCTTTAAGAGGGTCTGAGTCTATAGCCCTGCACTCCAGAGGCCCAAGCTCTGACGAAGTGGATATAAACCAGGTTGAGGCTGTCTACCTTCTTTTAAGATTTGGTTCCAGAGATATCTTTCCATGTCTTCCCACTGCTCAGGAAGTGCCTTCCCTGCCTAACGAGACCGGTGTGGTCCATCCCCTGCCCATCTCTCTAGACTCCTACTCCACTTGCTCTGAGTACATGACCTTCATTTAGTTCCCTGAACAAACCAAGATTTCCTGCAGATGAAGTGAGGTCTCTGCATAAGACACTCTTACAGTTCTCTGAACCTCTCCTTTGCAACACTTGCTACAGGTTGTAATTATATGTGTTTTATTTGTAGCTATTCAGTTACTATCTCCCTCCTGTGGGAGGCCTTTAGCTCTGTGCACTTTGCCTGTTCTGCTCATCACTGTGTTTGGTGCATTGTCGGGGCTTCATAAATGTAGACTTTTATTATCATTATTATTAACATTTAATAGATGTCTGTTGTTGGGATGGATGGATGAATGAATGAATGAATGAATGAATGAATGAATGAATATGGGAGCATCAACCTTATGCGTTCTTTTAGACTGGCCTGGTCTCCGCTCAGCCGAGAAGGATTTTAGATTGAAATCTTATCGGACAGCTAGGGGACGTGCTGTCTGAGATTCCTTCCAGGCCAGTGAACCTTTTGCTCCAGGAAGGCTGTCTGTCACTTTGCTTTAGCCATTGCTTTTATCATTCTCATGGGGAACCGTGTGTGTGTGTGTGTGTGTGTGTGTGTGTGTGTGTGATACAGAGAGAAAGAGACAGAGACAGAAAGAAGCAGAGAGAAAGAGTTTGTGCTGGGCTGCAAGGTGATGGGGAATGACTCTGGAGACCCCAACCCCCGCAAACAACCCTGGGCTCCCTTTTTACCTTGTCCAAGCAAGTGAGGTCCATTGGGCAGGGAGCAGGTCAGCTGAAAATGCCAGGCCCTGAACACCAGGGAGTTTTGCATTTCCAAATGATGGGTTTATGATTAAGCTCTGATAACTCACATGCACCGTCTGTGAAGAACGCCAGCTTCAGCTGGGAATTCTTGCTCTCTTGAATCCCTTCCCCCTGTACTTTTAAAATCTATTCCGCAGAGTCCCCCAAACAGCCATGGGTGGGGCTTGGATGAAATTTTCTGATGACATGGAGACGCTTACCCAAGATAGTGAATCCATACTGAGAATTTTAGGAAAAGACAGCAAAAAGCAAGAGGCTGGGAAGGCAGACGTTTTCTAAAAATAAGCTGTAGGATTCTCGCTTTCTTCCTCAGAGAGGCTGGAGCTACACTGACCTCTAGCTGGATGGAGAGAGTGAGTTCAGTTGGTGTTTCTACTATGGTTGTTAGGTGTTGGCTGATCTGAAATGAAAAGAGAATATTTGGAAATCTTCTCTTCCCCTCCTCAAATAATATCAACATTTCTGTAGCATTCATGATGTACTAGCCATTATGAGTTCCCATATTAGCTCTAATTATTCTCAATGACCCCGTCAGGTAGGTGTTATTGCACCCATCTTCCTGGCAGGAAAACTGAGGCCCGGGAGTTCTGTAACTTGCCCAGCACATACCCTTATGAGGTGGCTGAACCAGTATTCTAACCAGGCTCGTCAGCTCCAGAGCCTGTGCTCCTCCTGCAAACCCCGAGCCTGGCAGAGACCCAGGGAGGGTTTGGGTGTCTGGTCCTCCCGCAGGGGCCTGCTCTCTGGGAAAGGCCTCTCAGTCACTGTGCTTGTTTGTTCTGCCTTCTACCTTACTAATTCCTGTTTATATTCAGAAGCCAGGCTGAGTCTCCTTCCAGATGCGTCAGTCCCTGTAAAAGCAACCAGCTGCCTCCCAGGCCCTCCACTTTCTCAGTGATAACATCTTCCTTTTCACAGACTAAGAGCTCTGTTTTAAGCCGTGGGTGCCTGGTTAGTAGGGAATCAATGAAGCTTCCCAATAATGACCTAAAATGGAATTCGAAAACCCACCGGGGGTTGACATGTCCAAGAGAGTGTAATTCAGTTTTCTGTTTATCTTTCTCTGTGTGTTTTTAAAGATGTTCCAGTTGAGATTTTCCTGGTTGATAAATGGGTTTCAGGCTAACTCTGTTCAAACAGGATTGAGGGTAGGATGGAGGAAAAAACAGTTTCATTCTCACTTTGATGAGATGATTGAGCTGAGCATGTGGGTGGCGAAATGGGTGTAATAAGAGTAGATCTAAAAAAAAAAAAAAGCAGTAACAATTTTGGTTCTTTAAAAAGTGTATTAGCTGATGTAAGGACTATTATTGCTTATGCAATGGGGGTGTTTCGGCTCTCCATGGTGGGGAGTCTTCCAGCACGTCCCTGGGTTGTCCCACTGATGTGGCCCAGGCTTTCAGTGGCTTGCAAGCTATGGGACACTTAAGCTGTTGACTTTTTTCTGGACTGCTTCATTCAGGTGGAAGCTTGTCTACAGCGATTTGGCCTGTTCCTGCTGAGGTCCCGTGTTTACCTGATTTCATAATATCTTGTCTTTTTATTTTAAAATCTCTTAGTCACCCAACTAAAAATCATCATGTGTTCTTTTAGGTGTTTTCTATAAATAAAATACATTTTTGTTTAAAAATATGAATTTAATATGCAAACTACATTTCTTTATTTATTGGCACAGCATTGCCATCTTTTCAAGGCTGCAAATCCCTCCATTTCTAGTACATTTTATCGTCTCACGTTTATTGAGTAGACACTGTCCCTGGTGTCTGGCTACCAGCTGGATTCCATTCCATCCCACTGTAAGCATAAGGCATAATTCCATTAACGAATCTCTCATTGTTGGGAATTTTGATTTTTTTTTCTTTCTATATAAAATTGTGATATTATAAACATTGCTGTGATAAACTCTCTGAAGCGGAGTTGCCAGATCAGGAGTGACAACTCCACTTCTAAAATTATCCATTTAAATCCCTCTTCTGAAAAGTTACACTGTTCACATTTTCTCCACAAGTGTGCCTTTCCTCCCTGCTTTAGCCCACACGTGTGATTTCTTAACCTACTAATAGTAGTGTAAGGAGACTGACAAAGTTGGAGACTTAATACCGTCCAGGAGTCTCAATGGAATCAACACTCAGGGCGATGAGCGAAGCATCCTGCAGACTGGCAGGAGCCCGGTGCTGCAGGGACCAGCCCCTGCCTGTGTGAAGGCCACTGCGTCCCCTGCCTGTGTGAAGGCCACTGCGTCCCCGGCCTGTGGGCCAGCAGAGGGTGTCTGCAGAAACCGCCAGGCCGGGTGGCTGGGGCCGAGGGCGAGACCGACAAGGGCCGGACGCGCGTGGGCCTCCTGATCCCTCTCCAAGGGCCTGGGCCGCTCTCCTGGCCGTGGGTGGACGTGACAGCCCTGGGGAAAGGCAACGCTCTGAGGGGACACGCTGTCCTGCAAGTGCCCCGAGCTCCGTTTCACTGCAGCCCTTCCTCCCTGTCGCCCTCGGCTCCTGCTGCTTTGGGAAGAGCGGGTTGAGAGGGGGCGTGGTGCTTTGTGTGTGTCCGCGTTATTTTGCTTCTTAAATTTAAAAGTTGGGGAAAGATGTGTTGCGTTGCGTTCATGTGGAAACCTGGGGGAGCTGAAGGGTAAAACGGGGGACCCGTCGGAATTGCTAATAACCTCGGTAACAGCAATTTTCCTTTTCTGTTTTGCTCTGGGACACACACAAAAAAAGGAGATTGATTTTGGGAAAAAAATGATTCCTCTAGCTTTTTTTAAAAGACATTTTTCTATTTGCATTTCAAATCCTTCAGTTTAAAAAATGTTAAAGTAAATAGCTATAGTCTGACTTCATGTTTCAGGAAATTCAATATTATGCGTTGCATTCTGGCTGAAGAGAAACCAACACTACAGCTCATTTCTGCAAAGGGTGCTGTATTTGAAAACCTAACAAGTCAGAAATTTGGATATTAAAGAAGAAAGGGCAAGTCAAAGGGAGGAAAGAAGGGTAAGAGGTGAAGAGAAAAGAAGGGAAACTGAGAGCTTGAGCGTAGCTTTTCAAGTTTTTTTCCTGAAACAGGTGAAAAAGGAGATTGTTCACAAACACAAGCCCTTACTGTTCCTTTTTAGGTTTAATTTAACATAACAAATTGCAACACACACACAGGCGCAGTGAAGCATTCATCTGGTGTCAGGGCACAAGCCGCATCTTTCACACCTTCACCTGTACAGGGTCAGCCCCAAAGCATGCGTTGGACCAGAGCTGCTGGTTTTCCTTCAATGACTCTGTTTCCAGTTCTCCTTGAGCTACAGACCACACTTGTCTTGTGTCACTTGTGTGCATTTCCCCCTTGATAACTGGACCCAGGTTTATCCATGATGCTTCCGGTACAGATAGTTTTTACTAATTGGTTTTATAATGTCTTACACATTGGCCTGGAGTTTTACTGACCCTCTTGTTTAAAAATTCATATAATAAAGCGGGAATGACATAATCATTATATTCAAGAATTTCTGAAATGGTTTGCATTGTGTTTAATGAATGACCTATAATCTGTTAGCATTCATCTCTCTTTTGTAGAAATGGAAGGGTCATTCCTTTTTTTTTTTTCGTTTTTCAGATATGTTTTATTTCAAGCATGAAGAGTCACATTCTGCTTAAAAATCCAGGAGGCATTTTTCCAGTATACAAACAAAAGGAAGTAAGGAGACATGATGAAGGAAGACCACCAGGAGCCTAGAGATAACTTACAATTCCCTTTCCAAAGGAAGGGTCATTCTTTACATTCTGTTATTTTATAACTAATTCATTTACACAGATTTTCAGTATAAGTTAATTATGGAACTTACAGGAATATTCATATGATTTTTCTTCTTTGCTCTCTTGCCTTAGACATTTGACTTGTTAAAAATGTTGAATAAATTTTCCCAAAGAGACTTACCTCTCCCCTGCATTTTTATCTCCTGTCCTGTAAAGGTGTTTTCTTATGTACAGTTGGAAACTTCCCAACTTTCTTTAAGTCCTGCTAGTTTTGGACAGGCCTATGATGTTCTATCTGAGGCCAACCTAGGAAGAGAAAGAATGTTAGATTATCCGGGGCCATGGGCTCAGCCTTTAACCGAGTGACCATAGGTCTGGTTGAAATGAAGGGAATTGATGATCCTGTCCTGAATGGATTATTGATGGAGGACCCGAGTTGCCCAACCTGACCCTCTGGCCTTCAAATCTGGTGTAACATGAAAAACCCTTTCCAGAGCCATCCTTCTTCATGGCAGCATCAGGGGCCTTTTGTTTGAATATCTGACTTGTTTGGATCCCTGGAAGGGAGACAGAGCTGGCTCAGGGAAACGATGTTTACCATGAGCAGGGACGAAGACTGATGGAAAGTCTCAGCTTATCTAAAACCCAGAGGCCAGGCCTTGAGATAACAATATACTGCTTTAAAAGCGTGTATTTCTAGAAAGAAGAATTTTGCAAAGAGCCAAAGCATGGCCACTGTGGCACAAATAGGATCTCTTCCCCACTGCCCAACCCTGGGATGTCTTTTTGGAGAGTACACAGGTGTCCTTATGAAGATAAAATTATATAGGGTTTATGAGCCTAGAATCTTAACAGTCGATAAGAGCAAAGCAAGATAATCTCAGTTTGGGAGAGTGTGAGGTAAAACATGAGAGGTAAACTTATTTACAATTCCCCCTCCCCACTTGCTAATAATAACGATTAAGTTAAAGGCTTCATCTTCTAAATGGTTTATATAAACTTATCATAACCTTGATTTCATCACCCCCTTTTATATCTGAGAAAGCTGAGGGTCAGAACATTTATTTATTTACTTATTTTTAGTTTATCTTTATTGTTGCAAGTCTTACAGATGTGAGGGGCAGAACATGTAAATGACTTTCCCATGACTCGGAGCTGTGTACAGAAATACAGGCACAGGCTGATGAAGGCACCTTGACCCCATGGGCCCCACAAACTCCGCGTGCTAACCAACGAGAATCTCTGTCCCCCTTCCACTCTGAAGAACAAAAGGACACCCAGTCGACAGCTGAGTAAATAGCATAGTCTTCTCCAAAAATGCAATACAAAATAGCAGTCAATCCAAGTGAATTTTGTGAAAACGGTCAAAATTCATTCCCTATGCCTTTTTTTAAATCTTCCCCCGAGCGGTAACTGGTAGAGTTGTCACTGGTAAAAAATGGTGCCAAGGCCCTGCCAGACTTTCTGTTTACAAAGAGCACTGCTGTCAGCTTTGCTGACTGTGACGTCCGAGCCCCACAGAGGAGTCGTACTTTCTGGGAAGAGTTTCAGCCCCAAATAGTGGAAACACAAAACTCGTTTTGCTTATGTCTCAGTTGCCCAGGACGTCCCAGTTTGTTAAGGTTTCTCTGTATCGATCTGGTACATTTCAGGGAACAGAAAGGACGGTGCGGCTGGGCGGAGGGGGTGCCAGGAGAGGGGCAGGTGAGGCTGTACAGGCGACATGGCCGGGTCAGCGCTGGGGGCCCGCAGGGGACCTGGGGTTTTATCACGGTGCAGAGAAGCCACCGAGGAGGCTGGAGCCAGAGAGTGACATAATCTCATGGACAGTGTTAAAGGGTCATCCTGACTGCTTTGTGTCTGTTAATATTTGTGTCTGTTAGCGCATCGAAAAGGGACAGAAGAGGCCATGGCATCTTAGACGCCGGGGGTGGCCACGTTCACAGAAAAAAGTGGATGCGTTTGAGCTGTCCTTTGGCAATGGGATTTGGTGGTGGATTGGATGGGAAGGAAGGACGTGTCAAGAGTGACTCAAGGTTTCTGGTTTGAGCAACTGCCTAGAAGATGATGTTTGTTGGGGGGGAGAAGAGGCTTGGGGGAGGGAAACGAGCTCCCGGACAGATGTAAGTAGTTGAACAGAGTCCAAGGGAATATCGACGCTCGAGCATGCAGCAAGCAGCTGCAGGTATTGATTCGGAGGTCAGAGGCGCTGTGTGGAGTAGGGATATAAATATGACAGCCATTGGCCCACGGATGGTCTTTGAAGCCTTGGAAGTGAGCGCCCTGAAGGTTCAAATGTCAAGGGGGAAGGCAAAGGGCCCCGCGCTGTGCTCTGAGGGCCTTGCTACTATGGGCCTGGTCGGGGAGGGAGAGCCAGCATAGGCAATGGACAGAGTGGCGCCCAAAGGAAGGACACGCCAACCGGCGGGGGTGGCCGGCCTGTGGGCCGGAATCAAGGGAGCTGAGGCTCGCATTGCAGGCTTAAACAGACGTTTACCAGGGAAAAGTATGTGCTGTGGGTGGTCTCAGGATTAGAGATTTGCAAAGGTCTCAGGACATACGTTGGGCAAATATTGAGTTTACTGCTAGTTTGTAGAACATAAAAGCTGTTCTAAATCACTTTTTAATCCAGCTAGGTTATCAGTATGAGGGGGGCAGGACTTGGGTCAAAGTCAGGACTCCTTATCCAGTTGAAATCCCCTAATATACAACAGAGCACAGTTCTTAGCAACGTGCATTACAATCAAGGAAGGGAGGAAATTCAGGGAACTTTCTTTGCAAAACCCTATAGCAGTGTGGACAAGGCAGAGAATATTGTCTTCATGGTCATAGCAGAGGTATTAGGTAATTTTTCTGTCATTTAACAGACTTTCGAGAGCATAATAGGGGAATCTTGAGAAAACCAAAGGTTGTATTAGGTTTTAAAGCCAGATCTTGTTTTGGGGTGTCCAGAACAGAAATTGGGGCTCTCTTTAAAAGCAAGAGAAGAAAGGTATCCTCTTCTTATGTGAGTGATGCCAAGATTTCTCTTCAGTTGAATTTGCAAATAAACTGACCAAACCTGCTTTGTATAATTTAGACTTCTTTTGAGATTGAAAAAAATCTGAAGACTGAAATGGAACAGGAGATTATATCAAAGGGGATTAAGAATCAGAGGGACACACAGGCATAGCTGGAGAGACAGGGGAGACAGGGCGCAGCTCACACAGGGAGAGCTCAGGACGCTGAGCGGGAGAGGGAGACCGTTGGGAAGGGGCCGCATGTTGAACTCCCGCATGCTGAACCCTCCCAGTAAAGTGGTTTTATTTGCGGAGGAGCAGTTTCTCTAAGTCTCAGACACCTTTTCCCAGCATCCCTTAACTCAGGAAAATATTGAACATGGGAAGGAAAAGTGTTAAGGACGTGGGTGGTAGGCCGTTTGAGTTTCTTTGAAATATAATTTTGAATTAAAAACCAAACTGCAGAAGAATGAAAACTGCATGATTCCATTTATAGAGCATTTAAAAAAAAGTGAAACCAACCAACAAACAAAAGCCCTAAGGATATATACATATGCAGAGAAGCTCAAAAGGGACACCGAGGGAATGAGGGGAGAGGGCAAAGCTGAAGAGAGTGGATGCCTCTTGGCAGGGAGGTGGCACGAGGGAGGGGCACACAAGTAGCTTCTAGTTCATAAATTAAGGGGTGGATTATGGGTGTTCATTATATTTTATGTTTTATTACTTTTGTGTGTTAAATGCATGCCTTTGTAGATAGCAACAATTGCATAAGAAGATAATAAAGAAGCAGACAAAAAAATCATAGGATCTTTTCAGAAGACAACATAAATTGGTCCAAAGTGTGCCATAAACACCTCGCTGAGGCAGCAGGACCGCTCGGGCTTCTCAGAACAGAAAGCCCAGGGTGTCCCTCCTCTACCCACTCCCACCCCGTGGACTGACCGGCCCAGGGTCCGAAGGCTCTGACAGCTTCCCCCTTGCCTCTTAGCTCAGTGACCTTGACCAGGTCCCTTTCATTCTCTGTGCCCCCATTTCCCTAACTGAAGAAAAAAGAAAAACGTGGGCCTGACTTGGAAGTCAGCCTGGCAAGTCCACGCGTATCTTCCTGCATTCTGTGCCCTCGGCAGGTCACCACACGCGTCCTCTCCAGACTGGGAAGAGGCCTCCCTGCTGTTTTCAACAAAGAACTGCAGCCCACTGATCACACGGAGCAAGAGAGAAGCCTGTATTCCTGTCTTGACTTTCAAAGCTCCTTCAAAGTTTGCCATTCAGTTGTCCCTTCCCTCCCATTCTGTATGTAGTCACCCTAGTTCGCGTGGGGACTCTTTAAAGGACGGGGCTATGTCTTATTTCCATGGTATCACCCATTCCTCCTGCTGTTCAGTGGACACCAGAGTTTCGGTAAGAGCGCGCTGGTTAGAAAGCACCATTTCTTCCACCTTCTGCGCCATTCACGCCCCAGATCAAGAGGGAGGCAGTTCTTCTAGATCCCACCACATGGGTTCTGCCTGCCTGGGAGCTGAGCCCAGTCAGCATTCTGGGCCATATTCCGAAGAACCAGAATCTAGTTTCTGCCGGAGATTTGTGAAAAAGACAAAGGGACTTAGACTTTTCTCTCTGTTGACTTCGCCAACTCATGCAATGACTCGGGGCTGTACCTCCTCTCTTAAGTCTGTCAAACGAGGGAAGCAGTTTCTTTGATTCTCTGATTCCAGTTCAATTGACTGGAAATTGAAGTTGGGAGCAAGAGAACTGAAGCCCAGTATATTTTACAAACGAGCCCTGCACGCCCTCCAGTGGCAGGAAACAAATAACTCAGATGAAAATGGAGAACTCAGTTTTTGCCTAAATTAGGTTTTGGAAGTAGTATATTTTTTTCTTTTGCGTTCAACAGGCTACTCGGGATTCTCTATGTATTAAGTAATGCTGCAGTGTTGTGCAGGAGTGTTATGTAATGTTATCAATACATAGAATGTCAGAGCTAAAATGAATCATAAAAATAACTTATCCAATTTTTCATTATACTTAAGACATGAAAGTTCAAAGAGGTAGAGGGACAGGACTGATATGATGACCGCCACCTTCCGGGTCTCAATTCAGGGCTTGCTCCACTCTATCCCTTGGCTCCCCCATAGCAGTATTTTTTGGATACTTGCCATGTGCATGGCATTGTGCTG